CAGACCGATGAGCTTTGTAAAAATTGACGCGTTTCAGAAAGGTGGGGCATAGAGGAGAAACAATAATGTACAGTATATGGAAAATAATGTGTTTTTTGAACCTTAAACCGCATAAACACATTTCATTATACCAAATACACAAAATAATGTTCTTTTTAGCAGCATCATATGACCCCTTTAAAATTTGCAGGATGTTGGCCTTCCAGAAGCAGGATTGGACACCCCTGATAAAGAACATATTTTATTACTTGCTCAAAGAAGTATCTACTCTGCTTTCGGACACAGACAGTCACTTGTTTGGTTTCTGAATTACTTTTTTGAACAAATCAGTTAAGTGAATCTTTCAATGACTCACTCAGTCAGACAGTCACTTGACTCATTTATTAATGAATCAGCGTTTTTGAAAGAATAATCTGAATGAATGGTTCAGTGATTCAGCCATAATGGAACGGATGAATGAGTAGTTACAAAAGTTTACAAAACGGATGAATGAATAGTTCAATGACTAATTTAGCTCCTGACTGAATTAGTGTTTTGAACGAATCACCATCACTGATGCACAAGCTGACAGTCTGTCTGGAACACAGACATGCGCAGTGATAAAATCAATGAAAAGTAAATCACCATTGTATATCAGCACTCTTGGTACACTGCTCAACCAATCAAAGGATCAGAACTGTTTAATGTTATTATTCTAAGTCTTTGTATTAAGTCCATGAATTATTACATTTTGAATCATTTGACATTGAAATCAAACCTATTGTAATTTGTAGTTTGTGATATTCAAAATGTGATAGTGTACAAAGATTGCCAAGTCCTCAGAGTAGAGAAAGTCACAAGAGTGACATTGTGGTGGTTTCCCTGTATTAAACTAGCAGCTAACATAAGTAATTCAAGTTGTCACCTTCAGGCCTTTCCCAGTCTTAAGTGTATCTGTCTACACACACGCAGAGAGAATGCTGCTACTGCACACCACATGCATTTATCTCCCATGCTGAGGTACCCCACCAGGCCAGCACCTAAAATATCAGCCATGCAACCAACTGATCAGGTCAGGTCTGAACCTCCAAATAGCTCCAGACATCTTTATTTGCTTTAAATTATTAAAAGAAATAATTGTGAAAAAAAATAATTACACTTTAGCATACTTTCAAAAGGCTACTTATCACAGAAATAATATAATTTAAAAGAAAATACTTAAGTGTGAAACAAATGTAATTTTTCAGATACTTAATTGCATACATCTTATTTACAATTAAATGAAAGTGTTTTATAGTTTAAAGTTATATTAAAGGGGTCGTGGCTTGATCTTTATGTCTTTGTACCATTAAAACATCATGCAAGTTTCATAGCTTAAAACATCCTCCTCATTATAAACAAATCATTTATTTAATCAAGCTCGTTTCGGATTTGAGGTGCAAGATGGCATCTCCCGGGCACAAACATTTGCATAAACACTCCCTCCATAGCAAGACATTGAGAATAGTCATCTTCTCACCATAGGCCCCGCCCACTGGCGTTTAGTTGCTTAATGGCTTGACCCAGCTAACACACGACTTGATTACGCTGAATGTGAGCGTCGCGTCACGTCAAAAGCAAATAGAAATTACAATCACTGCTGCTATCTTGTCTAAAATGGATACAGTATACAGATGCACATTCGCTTTCTGACAGTGCTTGTGCTTAAATCTGTCATCAAGAGGACAAATGCAGTGAATAAAATGTTTGCTTTGATGCGTTAGGTTTAAACAGCTCGTCTTAGTACAAATATTGGAAGGATCTCACTGTAAGGAACAAGTAGATAGTTTTTTTTTTTTATGGCATCCCAGATCATGTCTGAGGATTGTTCGGAGTATTTTGTTTTGTAAACGATACACAGTGTCATGGTGTTGAAAGATGAAGTGGTACTAGATCTGACTGCAGCTGCATCACAAACTGTAAGTAAATGATTTCATAATGCTTTGTCTGAAAATGACATTTTTTTCATGTTGTGAAAGCACTCACCTGCAATAGTGAGGAGGCATTTATACTGTTTCCTAAGCAATGACGTTAGCCAGTGACTCTTTAAGAGAATAGGTACAACCCTTTTGGACCATGCGCCTGGTGCGCCAACAATTTTTTTTCCCCCATTGTTAATCTAGGAAAAGTGGATTCGGACACGCCCTAAGTGCACCTGCGCCATGTGCTTAGATTGTTAAAATAGGGCCCTGTAAGTGCACATTCATTGCAAATATCAAAGTGCAAAGTGTATTTGGAGGCAAATATCTAGAAATGACAAAAAATATATATTTGCAATATGATTTAAGTGCTCTTAAAAGTGTCTTAACTGCCTTTTATGTCACACTACAGGAAAGCTGTTAGTAAAGGGTTTGGGAATGTGTACTTTCTTGTGTTGCCATCACCCAATCAGAATTGGGTGTAATTTTCCTGCAGATTTACAATGATTAGTCACATGTATCCATACCTAAGTGCCCATGAGCAAAGATGCCTAATTACCAAACATGTACTTCTGGGACTTGCATGCACCATCCAGGCCACTGACACTGAAATGAATGGGAATGCTAATAGTTAACTCTCTCCAGGTATTATAAGAGCTCCTCACTTTATACTACTGTGAAACCATGTCTAAATATATCACAAAAAAAGGTAATAATATTTAACTGTCTTTCAGATAGACTGTTTCTATGGACTGATTGTCTTGTTCTTACTAATGGGATCCTGCAGGAAACCTTCCTCTCTCTCTCTCTCTCTTTGCAATAAATTGTATTTTATAAGCTTTGA